GTTCTAGGAAGGAATGCAGCGCGTTCGCCGTCTGCACTCAAAACCCTAAGTGTGTACTATTGAAACAACTTAAGACCCATGGCTCCTCATTTTCTTAGCCTCCAATATACCTTAAGCCTCTTTTCGAAACCCTAACCCTAATTGTGAGTGTGTGAGCTTGGAAGACCATCTTTGAGTGCATTTTGGAGTTGTTGAAGAAGAGTGACCACCTTGGAGTCTCATTGATCAAGGAAGAGCTTTTGGATCCAGGTTCTCTAGCTCATTTGCAAGCCTCAGAAGGTATAAAGTTTCTATCTTGCCATCTTATAGCTTAAGATCTAGATTAGGGCTTGTTTTGTGCTTCTTATGATCATATGGATGCTCTTTGGGAGTTTGAGCTACTCCAAGAGCCTAGGATTGAAGATCCTCGCATTTCTAAGTTTTTAGCGTCATAAAAATGGTAAATTGATGGTTGAGGACCAACCATGCAAAGGTTTTGGGTCTTGGTTTATGAATTGGAAACTTTAATGGATGTTTGTGTAACATCCCAAAAATACGGTCCAAAAATTTCGTTTTTAATTATTAATAAAACCATAATACCATCCATCATCTAATAAAAACATAATTAATGTATCATAAAATCATCATAACAATATATTGTATCAAAACCAGGTGTCAAAATATCAGAGTCTAAAACATCCCAAGCTGAACGAATGGTGTGTGCACTGCAATCATCCCGAGCCCTTCCCTTTGCTACCGGAAGTACCTGAAACTAAAACTGAAAACTGTAAGCCTGCAGCTTAGCGAGTCTCCCCAAACTACCCCATACCATACATATAACATAAAAAACATGCATCTAGGAGATACGGGCCTCGCCCACACTTAGCTATCTCAGAGATACGACGTGACATCCTCTTTTTCACGGCCAGAAAACACCAATTTGTTTATACTTTATTTTGAAAATCAAAGTATCTTTATTATAAATATATTGGGGAATTTGTTCCTAGAAAAACACGATAAATATATTATCAAAGCATTTCCGAAGAAATGTATTTTATTCCTTTTTAAGATATTGGGATGTCATCGTCAATACAGAAACATAAGCATAAACATACCTTACATTCATTTACACTAGTTATCTATATCTCCTTAGTCTCTTAGTGTAATGTAGCTTCGTATTGACACCTGTGATACAAATAAACTGAGTGTGTCGGGTTGGGAAACCTGGTGAATACATAGGGGTTTCAATCCCACATTTTTATATTATATATATAACTGAGAACTCACAAAATATACAATTTCACCATATATATACGCAACTCTTACCCCACACAGTCGATCCTCACAACGACACTAACCATACTCTCGGACCTTAAAATTTATCTCTTTACTTAATCCATGCTCTCGGATCAATAATTGTGCCCATTCCATACTCTCGGACTAGGGACAACTGTCTAAATCCATACCCCCAAATTAATGTCAAATAACTATGTCCTATCCATACTCCCAGACTAAGGACAACTGACTATGTCTTAATCTATACTCTCGGATTAATGACAATTAGATTTATCTTAATTCGTACTCCCGGATTAATGACAATTGACTATGTCTAATCCATACTCTCGGACTAGGGACAATGACTATGTTTAATCCATGCTCCCGGATCAATGACATTTTAAAGTTCTATTCTCTGTGTATAACTCAGTCGTACTCATAAGAAGATACTACCAAATATTACCCATAATTAATTTAGGTTTACTATGTATCCTAAATCATCATATATAATCAGGTATGTTCTTTAACACGTATTTTAGGCAACATCGAATAACTCGCATATAAACATATATTTAATACTTCAATCAATACTTGTATTCAAATCATGTTCATGAAAGGGACTATGCACTCACAACACGTAATTTATATTAAATACTTCATATCTATGTGTAAGATGAAAGTAACTATGCACTCACACATAAACTCTTTAACAAATATTTAACTATTTAATAGATATTTAATACTTTATTAATACTTGTATTAAAATCATGTTCATGAAAGGGACTATGCACCACTTGTTAAAGTGATGATTCCAAACTCAAACAGCGCTTCGCTTCTAACGATTCTATTTTCCTTCGAAGAAACCTAGTATTATTACCACTAGATTTTAGTCTAATATTTATTGCGACTAATTATTAGTCTAGATTCATCATTAACTCAAAGTCTACTTTCATGATCTATCAAGTAAGGAACAACCAGGTAGGATCATATCGGAGATAGGGTCCATTTGGTATACGAAGTATACTGTTTGGAAATCACACTTTAAACACCCCACTAAATCACAGCCTAGACATCATCCCCGTAAGTAGATTAATCAGTATAACGACTTGGAATCACTGATAAATCTTATTTATAGGTTCATAATAACGATAATAAACTTAAACATAAGTTATACTTAAATTAGGGTAAGCATAACTCACTTACCTGGGGTTTGGCTAGGAGCCGGGCTCTATAGGGGCAGAACTTCTGAGTCAAAAGCTCTTCTTCTCAGAGCCTTCAGGTGCTCTGGGACTCGCCTCTAACACCTAGGAGGTGCTAGGGAAGGGGGAAGAGGGTTTGGGGGTAATAGGAGAGAAAGGGTATGAAATGTGTGAGTTTTGGGGGTGATTTACGCCTCTATTTATAGGCTATCTGGGCTGATTACATCGTGAAAAAGGGTGCTCACATCGTGAGCTTGCGTAGGCTCCAAGGCGAAGTCTGGCGCTGACACGTGGCATCGGACGCAGGTAAAACAACCAATCTTTAAAAATTCATAACTTTCGCATACGAACTCCTTTTTTTGACGCTCTTTATATCCACGCTTTGGTAAAGACAAGATCTACAACTTTCCTTTTGACTCCATAGTATGAGAAGATTACACTGTTAAATGTCTGTGTAAAATTCTTAACTTCTACATACGGACTCCGTTTTCGTCTGTCTTTTTATCGTTGAGCTCCTATTAATGAGATATTCAATTCTCATTTAGGTTGCGTTGGCCAAAAATGGATTGATCTAAAATTCGAATTCCGGGTTGTACACTGTTATGCTAAATCTTAGAAAAATCATAACTTCCTCATACGAAGTCGACGCTGCCACTGGCGCTGCTGCTGATGCTGTTACATATAAACTCTTTGCTTGCCTCTACAATCGCCATGTACTTTGTTTCTGTGGTTGAAAGAGTAACACTCTCCATGTATTATGTCTATTTGCTTGAAAAAGTAACACTCTTCTGTAACCTAAACATACAACTAGTATCGATACTTACAAATGTTAACATATAATCGATTATGCTCTTTTCCAATCCATACAACCCTCAAATTAGCATCAACAAACCTTCCGAAACCACCATTTCCTTCTGAAACATAAGTTAGCCTCATAAGTACCTTTCAAGTAGCGTAACAACTACTTGACACATTCTTAATACTCCCTTCGTGGATTAGATAGAAACTGACTCACTTCTGATGACAAATGTAATATAGGAACCAACCCATGAAAAATTCCATGACTTTTTTTGTACTTTAGGCAGAAGTGTTGTGTAACAATGAAGAATTGTTGGTGGCAAAAAAAAATGATTAAACAGTATAAATGAATGAAACATCAAAAAGTTAAAAAAATGAACGAAATATCAAAACAAAAAACAACATTAAATATATTTATTCTAATAAAATGTAAAAATATATTTTTAAATAAAAAAATAATGATAAATAAATAAAATAATTATAATATTTTTATGATTTAAATAATTTAGATAATAGATTTAAAAAAAAATTATTTTTATACCTTATCTATATTAAATTATTAAAAGTATATGATAAAACTGCACAAATGGTCCCTAATGTTAGTTGAAAATTGCCATTTTGGTCCAAAAATGTTTGAAAATTGCAAGTTTAGTCAAATTTGATTTTAAATTTTTTATAATGATGATTTTGCCCTTCATATTTTCTTTTTCAGTTTTTTTACTACATAAATTAAAAAGAAAAATACTATCTCTCTGTGTGTGTGTGTGTGTGTGCGCGCGCGCAAATACAAACACACTCAAGAACACACATTGAAACTTAAGAGCACATATTTATATATATGAACACATACACAAACATTCCATATGTTTTAGATTTATTCTTCAAACACACACACATACACACAAGAACACATACACGAAATCAGATCTGATGAAGGGGTTTTTGATGAACGCATTCAAGAATACGAAATCAGATTGAGTCATGGGTATCCGATCTCCTCCTCAGACGACGAGCTCCTCCCCATCCTAATATTAAAGGAATCCTTAGCGTTGTGCAAACCCTAGCGTGAAACTCTATGACACGGTCATCGTTAACATCTATAACGAATCAAGATCTAGTAGGGGTCGAAGGTGGCGGTAGCTAGGGTTTAGACTTGTCCCCCCTCGTTGCCGTTCTCAATATATATCTACCCATCCATCGCATTTCTCCTTGTCGCCACCATCTTTGAAACGAATCTGTAACAGGTTAGGGTTTGTAATGGTGGCGAGCTGAAACCCTAGTAGTAACGTCACTAAACTCGACTTAATCGACTGAGGTTTGGCGACAACCATCTCTTTACGAACCCTTTCTCGGATCTTACACAGACTAAGGTTTGGCTCTAAACTCAACTGTTATCCTTATAGTTTTTTTTTAAAACCCTAGCTTTTCAGATCTGTTGTGGCGTTTGTGTGTGTATGTGTGTTTAATCTCTCGTTGGTCTTGTTTGAGTTTATATGTGTGTGTTTAATCTATGAGTGTGTGTGTTTGTTCTGAATCTGTTGAAAAATTGATGGATGTTTGTGTTGATTTGTGTGTGTTCATCAGATTTCATTTTTGTGTGTGTATGTATGTGTTCATTTGATCTGATTGTGTGTGTGTGTGTTCATCTGATCTGTTTTAAGTGGAGATGGAGGTGGCGATTCTAGTGGCGGCGGATGGTGTTCGAATAGTAGTGGACCACCGAAGGACCTCCGATTGCCGTCGAACCCTATGCCACCACCGTCTTTTTCACTGCCACCATTGGCGCTATTGCAGGCCATAGTAGATTGGTAGGCACGACGATGGCTGTGTGTTCTTTTTTTCTCTAGAGGTCTCTATCTTTCTCCTTCGTTCATACTCTCTTTCTCCATTTCGATTCTCTTCTAGCTCTCTCATCTCTCTGATTTCAACTTACCTGAAAGAAATGTAGAGGACAAATTGGGAAGAAACCCAGATCATAAAAATCCCTAAACCACAATGTTTATCGGAAAGAACAATATAACCTGATACCCAATTCATTCTTCTTTAATAAGGGTGATAGAGATGGAAAGTGATAGTGATTTCCTATTGATTAAACTCGCCTCTACAGATGTAATAACAACACGACGATCAATTTACAAGAGATGAAACAAAGGTAGTTGATGGATCGTTCATTAAAAACCCTGGATTCCATTACTCTGACGAATGAAGAATACAATGGGTTTGGGGGTTGAGGACGATAGCTAAGTCTCGATAGAAAAAAAGAGAAAGAGAAAAGATAACAAAGAAGAGAGAAGAAGTGGGTTATCTGGTTCGCCGCCGACGGATCTTTGTTGGGAAGACATAGTGGAAGGTCGTGAGCACCAATTGTGGTCGTTTTTCTTTTGCTGATGATGGGATAAAGAGAGGTGTAGGGTTTTACATCGAGATTTTTGTTTTGTAAACACACACACACACACATAGAGAGAGAGATATGTTGGGCCCTAAATTAGTTAATTATTTTATTTTTCATGTAAAATAAATAGAAAAAGCATAAAAATATATATCAGAAGGGCATAATAGTCTTTTCATTTTATTGAGGAACAAAAAACGCAAAGAAACTAGCTCAAAAGGACCACCAATCCAAAAAAATCGTAGTTTGGATTAAAACCCTCAAAAAATGCATACTACAGGTACCATTTTTGCAGTTTTGTCTAATTTTTTTACAGGAATCTGGTGTAAGCTTGTCTTCCGTTTTTAGCGTAGACCAGCGAACGTGGCAAGATCAGGTAATTTATCCACAAGATTTCCTAGAAAATGACTACATGAACGCACATATAAAGATAAGATACATACCCCTTACTCTAGTCCTCCTGCTAGTTATAACTTTCGTCTTCTCCTAATCCTATCCTTCACTGAAGGCAAACATTCTTCACTTCTCGTCGAGTAAGAACACCAAACCTAAATCTATCTATCATATGTATGTGTAATTTGAGTTTTGAAATGTTGTTCCTTTTTGCAGAGCGATGGCGGCGGCGACAGCGCTTAGTTTTAATTTGGTTGGAGCTTTTAGAGGACTTTCGTTTGGTTCAAGTTCTTCATCTTCCTTCTTCAAAGGAGATTTTGGATCGGTTCCCACTGCGCGTAAGATTTCAATTTCGCTACCGATAAGAACCCCATTGACGATACAGAATGCGCACAAAAAAGGAGCTGGAAGTACAAAGAACGGTCGTGATTCAAAAGGTCAGAGGCTTGGTGTTAAGATTTACGGAGACCAACTTGCGAAGCCTGGCGCAATCATTATTCGACAACGCGGAACAAAGGTATATATATGAGCATCGTTTACATGAGATTGCTTTGAAATTGTGTGAAATTGATGTAGTTTTTGCTCGTAGATGTAAGCCCTAAATCAAGTATATATTCGCACGCATGAAACCAGCCATTAGTACAAAGGAAGGATTTCTTTTACTCAAAATTCACAAGGACACAACATTCCTTTGACATTTAAATCATTCAGTTTGTGCTAAAAAACCAACATGTGTTTTAGCAGCTCAATTGGACCTGAATCATATGAATAATGTATGAGATTTGATGTGTGAAACCGAATATATGTTCCCTCTTCCATCCGGAACTAGGCTGGCATTTATAACTGAATCATATTTCTTTGTGCCCTTATAACTGAATCATATTTCCTTATCTTATCACAATTCACAAAGAGCTGTTGGAGCTATTTGAGCTAAAAAGCTATTTGTGAAGTCAAAGACAAACGAGACATCTGGATATGAGCCTATGATAGTTGGTTGAGTCGAGTGGCCGGATGTAGTCGAGTATTTTGTGTTTTGGGAACCTTTTATTGAAATCTCACAGTATGTGTGTTTGGATGAGTATAAACTTATTGGCATGCATTGGATGTTTAGAAATGGTGAACATGCCAAACTGTTTATTATTTATGGTTGGTATTAGTCGTGTGTGTATCTTGTATAGTTCTATGGAGATGGAGTTTGTTTGAGGTTGATTATCTTAAAGCTGACAGAAGATACTTGTATTACTCTGCAGCTAACTGACCATTATCTTGATGTTTTCTACATTTAGTATTTTGTTAATGCTAATTCTGGTAACCAACTATAATTTTTGTCCAGGATAGATCACTAAAGATTTGTTAGCCACTTTAGTCTAGCCCCTAAAAAACTTGAGTTGAAGCCTTCATTAACAGTTTTTGGTTTCTTGTCCAGGTGCATCCAGGAAAGAATGTTGGGATTGGCAAAGATCACACTATTTTCTCTCTAATTGATGGATTGGTGAAGTTTGAGAAATTTGGACCTGATAGGAAAAAGGTGAAATACTTGTAATTTCTCAAACCCCATTTCAGCTGTGTGCTTTCATTTGATAAAATTTGGGTGTGTGTGTGTGTGCAGGTGAGTGTTTACCCACGTGAAGTGCAGCCAGAAAATCCAAACAGTTACAGAAATAGGAAGAGAGAATCATTCAGGCTACAGCGTGAACGCAGGAAAGCACGAAAAGAGCTTAGGGAAGGGACTGCTGTCCAACCTCTGTTGGTGCTGGCTTCAGCTAAAGGACTGTTACTGCTACTGACACTGTCACTGCCGACGCCAATGTCGATTGCTGATTTAGGACTTCACAAAGTAATCATGTTTCATGAGAAATGATAACATTTGGACAATGTCTGTGTCACAGTTTACAAGTATTATTTTTTTGTATGTGTATTATTTTCTGTGAAAATGGTGCCTGTAAAGTACTCTTCAAGTTTTTTCCTACTTCCAACCATATTAAGCTTCTACTCTTTATTAGCCTACATATTAAAAAGAAAGCTTACAGCTTGATACAGGCATATTCTGTTTTATGCAGTTTTTCTTCTATTTTATACAATCTTTCTTTCACTTTTTGAGAAAGCAATCATCAAGACATAAATCAGTGGATTAATGTCACATGTAGGCTATACCCACCAACTATAACTGGTTTTCATTCGTTTGATTGTACCCCAAGAAGTTGGCACATATTTTTTCTTGTCAATCTCACCATTTTATAGATCAGTGGGTGATGTGGCATTTACATGGCAACAGTTGTACATGTTATGTCTAAGTGAGCTTTTTATATATAATTTACAAAAACCTGAAATCATTCTTTTTACTTTATTTTATATAATCATCATCACCAGCAATGTTCATGTTCCACCACCATCACCGTTTTAAATGAAATTCCACAGATTGAGCATACAATATGAACAACCATCAACAATCAGCATTGGCACATTTGGGGACAGGTTGCATAAGACTAGAAGTGAAAAAAAAATGATGCAAAAAAGTAAAACCAAAAGCAGATGATGTAAACACTAGTATATAAGGTTCCACATTAAAGATTTAAAGTATCAAAAAACAAATCTCTTTCTACTTGAACATAACACCAGAAAAGTTCCCTAAAATACATCATACTTCTCGATGTAAAACCATTTTCCACACAGCTAAACGTCCTCCATCCATCCCTTCATGATCGTATGACCTGAACAGCCAAAAAAAATGCACATGTTAGCCAAAATTGTGATGCAGATTCATTTGTACTAGCTGTGCAGATATGTGCACTCAACCAATATAAGATGCACAGCGGAGATTCATGAAAATGCTCATGTAATGGACATTGAGACAAGGAAATTATTCACATTTTGATGTCAACTAGCTTGAGTAATTAGCTTGCTTCCGTTTTATATATACGCTTCTATCTCCTAACAAGTGTGAATGCGTGTTTCTGAATTCTGATCCAATGAGATGAATGCTTAAGCGTCAACTAAAATGTTAACAAGTGTGAATACGTGTTTCTGATCCAATGAGATGCATGTTCAATTTCATTGCAGAGCAACATATCTAGGTGAAGTTTGCAAGAACCATAGCAGATCAAGCTAAATGACCAATAACTTAAGCGTGTAACCAACTTAAATGGATTGGTAAATTCTAAGATTAAAGAGATTAACAAGATCGACTGCGTGAACATAGATCAACTCCACACGTAACAACTATCAAGTCAAAATAATTCTGTTGTAAAAGTAAATAAAGCAGAAGGAAATGAATTCACCTCTAAACAGATCCGACAATTATGTTGTTGATAGGGATGAAGATGAGCTTAACGAAGAACCCAACAAATCCCATCACCACGAAACCAATCGCCGTACGAACCGCTACCTTCGAGAATTCTGTAAAAGAGAGAAATAATATTGAAATCGACAACACGAAACCAAGATCTGAAATTGAAATGAGTCGATCAAAACTGTAATTGAGTAGTAGTATCGCGTACCTTTACGATCAGGTTTGTGGCATCTCTTGACTAGACGGTAGCTATCCTTTGAGAACTCTCTCAATGGCTCGAAGACTGAATCCAAAGCATCCATTATCAGTAGATCGAGAGAAATATCAGATCTGGAAAGAGAATTAGGGATTTGAATGGAGATGCGGAAGAAATAAGAAGACGAGAGCAAGGGTTATACGCGTTGAACCAAAAAACAATTCGCTCACCTTATTATCTCAATAATTACAAACATGGCCCTTATTTTTATACATATACATAATGGTCCCTTGAGGTTTTTTTGGTGGCTCTGTTGAGATTCTCTAATCAATTTGATCCAAGTTTGTATAACATGAGCTTTGAACCTTCAAATTAATATTTTATCGTGCCCAGTCATTCCAAAACATTAGCAACGTAATATTCTTGTGAATTGTAAGTTCGTAACTTAACATTTAACAAACAATTAAATAGATCGTCAAAAAAATAATTCATTTTCTTAAAGATAAAATAAGAGATATGTTCAACTGTATGAAAAATCTTTAAAAATATCATACTTTTTTTACAAAATTATTTTTATATTAAATTACTTTGAATTTTTGGATCATTTTACGTTAATATAACATGAAAACTGAAAAGTATTAGTTTATTAAATTCTCTAAAATTCTAAAAATAGAAAAGATAGGACTAGGTGATAGGATGTTATGGTACTCCTACTAAAGATTTTGAAGCTACAAAATCAAAAAGAAAAGGATCAAAATTGCCAACTGCTAATAGTTAGACACCTTTTTGTAATTCGTTAGTTTAGTTGTTTACTTTTTTTCTTTTAGGTAGGCTGAACGTGGATGGAGTTTCGTCATCCTTTCCTTGCTGGCAATGCCACGATGGATAATATTGGACAGTCAGCACGTTGACGACTTCTAACTTGTTCTCTGTTTAGTTTGTATCTGCCGGATACGATGCCGTATCGTTTACTTAATGTTTCCGTTATAATGTCTTTTATTTTATAATCAATAATAAATGTGAGACCCATATATTAGGGTTCATTAAAAAATTATAAAAATTCTATACATTTGAAAAAATTTGAATTAATTTTTTTTTTAAAAAAAATATTAAATTATTAAAATTAAAGTGTTTTTTCTATTTTAATTTTAAACAAATAATTTTGATAAATAAACAAAGAAAACTAATGAAATTTTAATTTAGATATGTTAAATTAGAAGGAAAGTCAATTATTGAAATTGATATGCATTTATTATTAAATTTCTTGCAATTATTATATTTAAATATTATGTGAAATTTTATAAAATAGAAAGAACCATAAAATATCATGTAGAAAAAATTTAATTGAAAATAACCACAAAATGACATATTGCCAAATTAATGAGAGTATAACACGTGACAAAAAGATTTTCATTTATTAGAGTAGATTCAATAGAGGTGTTTAACATTTCTAATTCGAAATCAAAAAAATTATATAAATATTGCCTAAGAAAAGTATAATCAATAAGTAAACTATACTACCTTTTTAATAGATATTTATGACTTATTTGAGGTGTACAACTAAGGATTAGCTTTCTAACCGAAAATCGAACCAAAATCAGAACATGTTGGGGGTATTCGATATGATTTCCCGTTCACTCTTTAATCGGTTTTCAGTTATTCTGATTCCGGTTCCGAAACCGGTTATATCCCTTTGTACAATCACCCTTGGATACTAACCAAAATATCAAAAACATAATTCTTTTACGTCCACTTAAGCATATTGTTTGTACTTCGGTCTTCTAATTAATAAACTTAATTAAGTTCTAATGTCTACGTCCTGCACTAAGTCCGCAAACTTGTGTTTTTTTATTATTATTATTTTATTTTTTATATAATACAAATATAATTTTCTGATTTTCAATGACATTCAATCCTTTTTATTAGTTAAAAAACTTCTGTGTATTATGTTTCATGAAATCAGTTAGAGTATTTAAAAAAAGCTCTACAAAACTAAATTGTAAAAAATCTCTAATTTTGGAAGTTTAAATATCTTGATTTATTCAAAACAATTTTGTAAACAGTATTTAAAAATATAGCCTCTAATAATCAAGAGCAGTTCAGGCCCAATTATGACGGTTAACCCAAATCCCACTTGATACCGTTAACCCAAGTCGTTACCCATCCCCAAACTTTTAGTTCAGGATGTAATATTTGTTATAAATCTGGATGAAAAGGGTATTGTTGATAATTGTGCTGCTTGGATAGTTGTAAGACCATGTAATCACTTTCCTTGAAATCTATTTACTCATTATGCATGGTAATCCGCAAATAAATTCTTAGGATAATCTTACAACAAAACACTTAAATTTATAGGCACAAAATTAAACAAATGTTTGTATTTAATTGTTTGTAATCTTGGGAGAGTTAAAATGAGAACTATAACAAGTCAATTTATGCCCATGATACTTGTAAAAATGGATAACGATAATTAGAATAACGATTTTCTAAAGTCGGAATTAATTACTTCTTCATTAAACTTACAAGTCACGTTAAGCTTATAAGTTAGTTTTACCAAACAAATTAGCCCCAAACTAACCAAATGGTTCCAAACATACCAAGATTAAGTCAATCCCAAACCAAAGCTAGTCAAACATACCAAGACCGTGCAAGTTAGAAGCTGGTCAACGAAATTGAAATGAGTCAATTCGTTAGCATGACTACCACAGGGTGCGGGCCCCCTTGACCACCATCATTTGTTGTCTTCAGACGTTTGGCTTGCATGGGTCTATGTGTGGGACACTGAGCCTTGTTCCCCAGATCGTTAGGCTTGTCTTGAATCGCTCATGGATCTGTGTGTGGAAAAAAGTCTTGTTCCCTTGGTCGTTTATGGGGTCAGTATGTGGAACAAACTCAACTTATATAAGTTTGCACGCTCAACATCTAACTTGTACTAGATCACGGTTTGAGTGGCACCATATAAATTCCAATTACTCCAAAATGATACAAGTGATACTAATAAAATCACCAACACGATATGTGCACGTTGTTTCGATAACAATCAACCTAACAGACATGATATAGTCATATAAATAAACACAATCCTACACATAATATATTCTTTCAAAAAACCTAAAAGTCACAAACCTGAATTCATTATAGAATGAATTACCAAAAACATATCAATAATCAACACATTCCCCTAAATTTTTCTCCAAGTCAACAAAATTTAAGTTGATTATAAATTTCCCTACTGACCTTCATTTCTTTGTTTCACGTTGAACAGATCGAGGTAGAAACGTCAACCCACGTGTATGGCGTCGACCAAAACTAACAACCGAAGGAGACAAATCCGAAGTAGTCAACTTGGAAACACCCGAAACAAGCCCATCCAGAGTCTCTTCTTCCACTTGCATTGCACTCGATTCATCTGCCACATGTTTTTGTTTCCTTTGGTATTTCTTCACCCTTTCTTTTTTTGAGGGATGCGACTTTTTCAAAAACTCATATGTCGAAGGAAACTTATGCTTGTCCATTAGATGTTGTTGCCGAGACTTGTAGCTTTTCAGCTTTACACCACACCCTTCAACAAGGCATTCATACTGTTCCAAAAGGAAAAACAACCAAACTTTATCATCCAATGTTTTTTTTTTTTATTTTTTTTTTAAATGAAATAAGATGAAATTTTTACCATGGGGTAACCTCGTGCTGCTTTTGCTTGAAAGAAGGAATCATGTGCCTCGGACACGTGTATGCTGAGTAGGCGAGATGTGGGGTATACTCTTGAGCAGACAGAGCAAGAGGACGTGTGACGTGCATTGTAATGATCTTCAAACTCAGTCAATGTTTTCAAGGTTGCCCCACAGCCAACAATTGGACACAGCACATCTCTGGTCAAATAAATTTGTGTTAATGTTTTTCCTTATAGTAGTATTTTTGATAATATATATATGAATGTGTAAGAGGAATGAAATTTGAAATTGTCATGTCAGGCAGCACCTGTAGTTGTCTTCAAAATTTCTAATCTCTTGTTTTTCCTCTTCAGTTAAATCTAGTGTGATCTGGGTATCAAAATGAGAAAGAAATAGTTAAAATCTATCATCTGTTTCACATCATGCTAACTATGTACGTGGAACTTATTGGATACTAATAAACACACATTATGTTACATATTGAAGTTTTTTATAGATGTGTCACTCATACATACAAACAATTAAGTAATAAAAATAGATCCCTGTCAGCTTTTGAATTCTAGGTGTTGAATGAGTTGTTAAAAATGTTATGTTAACTGTTGGTGTATGCTACCATGCATAAGTTTGTGAAAATAGGGGTTATGGCATGAATTAGCAACTTGTAGTTTTTGCATTAAGGGTGTACTTTTAGGATTTATATATTTAAAGCAATATCATCACTAATTTATCACCAACTCGTAGTTTTTCATCACCAGTTTATAATGATTTTCAACAACAATTCATCTTCAATTTCCTAACCAATGCATCACGCATTTGTCATTTTTACACCTATCTATTCTATTGTTCTTTAATTCATCACCAATTTAATCCATACTCTGCACCACTTTATTCCCAGTTTTATCAAATATATGTCATAGTCACAGGGAACTATGATTACCTAAAAATCATCAAGAGAAATTCACAAACAAACTTTTCAGTTTTTGATCAATTACACTATCCGTGACACGGTTGTCATGTCTGAATTCCAAAAGCAACAAATGATTCTGGACATCACAATTAAACAGGTCGGATCTCTCATTGGTACATGTGTAACCTCTAATAAAGATTAGCATCTCAAATCTTGAAATCACATAGGGAAAATCGTAGAAATCAAATCACAGACGAAACGAAGGAACGGAGAGGAGAGGAACCTGTTTGGCGAGAAGTTCACGTTCAATATTTCCAGAAGCAAAGAAGGGATCGTCGGTGTCGAATCGGCGAAGAACTGGAAACCAGTACTTGAACTCTGACTGCAATTGTGTTTGTGTCTGCAAATGATTATCCACCATCATCATCGATGTGCTCAAATGATTATGGAAGCGACGATTGAACAGACAAGAGACTTTCCCAAATTCAACGGCAAGAATCGCTAGAAGCTATACTTCAAACCGCCTAATTATTCGGGTATGGAGTTGCGGGTCGGGCGAAAGAAGCCCCGTTCTCCAACGGCTCTTTTCCTGAGAAAAGTGCAATCCAGCTGGCTAGTGATTTGGTACATATATATGAACCGGGTTGGGTACCAAAACTGGTAAGCTGCCTAAAGTCTCGTTGAAGAGGAAAATTAGTTATGGGCCTATTGCAAGACTTTGGGTAAAGTTAGGCCCTGTTTGATTTGGATCTGACTGGTCCAATCAGATAAAAATATATGAGTCGGTCAGCTCCGCGTGTTTGATATGCTTCAATTTTACATCTGAGCGGGTCAACAATGTCTTAATCGGTCATAACTAAAAACTTTGCTGACTGAATCTGATTGATATCCTTTCCACCATTGCCCCTGAACCAGTACCACCCTCATCCTCCTTCCTCATAGCCATCAATTTAATCCTTGAAAAGGGAAAAAGAAACATGAACAAAGGCAGCAAACGAGGTGGTCTTGTGGAGGATTAGCAAAAAGAAACACGAAAGGGGAAGGAAGAGTGGAGCAGATTAGGCACACAGCAGGTGGGGGGTGGTTCTGTGGTCTTCGATCGAGACAATAAGGAAGGAAATCGAAGGTAGTATCGGTGGAACTTGGTCCGGTGACGACACCGACGCTTTACATCTACGACGTTACCTTGCCTCTTGGTTGGATCGATTTCCACCTTTCTTGTCTCTTTACTTGGTCAACTGAAGGAAACACTCCAAAAATTGGAGACAAATTGACGCCTCCTTTCTTTTTAATAACTCCTAGGGTTTTAAAGGAAAAAATAAAAAGCCCAATACGTATACTTGTTTTTATCTTGGATTATACAACTAAAAATAATCTCATAACTACCATCAATTTATTTTTGAATTCTTATTATTTCATATACTAATAATATATAATTAAAGACACTTATCTTCGGTAGTAATCTTATATGTGGTTTAATAGATTAATAACACATTTATAATTATTATTATTATTATTATTATTATTATTATTATATTGCATAGAAACGCATAGAGGATAGGGTAAAATGGTCATTTTGCATTAGTCAGTACATTCAGTCAGATTTTCAATCAAAAAGCATGATTTCTTACTCAGTCAGAATTTCTCACTCAGACAGACATTTCTCAGTCAGCACTTTCTCATTCAGAAACTATCAAACGGGGCCTTAGTGATGTCAAGACGTGCACAGAAAAACCGGTTCGGAACCGAACCATCTCATAAACCGGTAAACCGGTTCACGTTGAACCAATTCAGGAAGAACCGATCCGGTTCGTGAATTGATCCGTCGGTTTGGACAGGTTCGAGATTTTAGATGTCGGGACCGGTTTAGGACCGGTTTAGTAAGAACCGGTTTAGAACTGCCATCATCATATCCTCCTCATCACCACCTTCCCGCGCCATTTTCACAGCCAACTTCCATACCCACATACTCACCCACCAGAACACTCAGTCCCGTCAACCACCTCCATGTAGAAACAAAACACCATCGCCATCAAACACCACCATCATCACCTACCTTCACCATCTCCACAGGAAAAACGAAACTAAACATTAACCCACAACCACTGCCCCTGTTTGCTTTCATCCACATAAGATATGGCCTGAACAAAAGCAAAAGTATGGTTGTATTGTCTATAATTTTTTGCAGAAGCTAGGACCATAAGATGGCATTACAAATTAAGACTCGGAGCTAGATGGACCTATGCTTTTGTAATGACCAAAAGTCAAAAGGATATGTAGGTAGATGGGTAAAAGCATGAAGCTATGTGTACGATTGTATGATGGGAAAACACAAGGACACTTTTCTGCAGGAAGCAACCTTTACTTTTCTTGCTGTCAATTTTGAACTATAATCACAAAAAACAAAAAGAAGTTCAATAAATCGGTTTGAAGAACCGGTTTCTTCCTGAACAGGTTTCCGGGAAACTGAACCGGTTTACAAAGTTCGCATATTTTTATTGATGAACCGATTTGAAACTGAACCGGTGTTGATCATATTGACCTGAACCGAACCGGTTCTAAAAACCGAATCGGTTTATAAAGAAAACGGGTTTGTGCACCCCTAATGTCAAGTAGACATGCACACAAAAATCGGTTTGGGCTATAGGATCCAATCCGATCCGAAAACCGGATTTGGTCAAAACCGGTTTTGACCGAACCGAATCGGATTGAACCGGCCACCGGATTGAAACCGGATTGGGACTTCGGATGGCAATCGGATTAGACCCCCGGATCGAGAACCGGATTATGACCGAACCGGATCCAAAACCGGTTTGAAACCGGATTTTTTTGTTACTGTTAAAAAACGGGAAATTTCGATTTTTTTTTTTTTTTTTTTTTTTTAAAACTAGCCGTTAGAACTTAAAAAAAACGGCTACTTTGACTTTTTTTGACTTTTTGGCACTTCTAAACACCTATATATACCTTTCATTTGCTACATTTCAATTTTACACAAAAAATTTACTACTTATTCTCATAATACTCAAAAAAATGAGCTCGAGAAATTCAACCGCGGGTCAAGATTCGGATGCAACGGTGGTTAAAATCATACCAACCACTCGGAGTAAAGAAGTGTGGGAACATTACGATTTGTGTTTGTTGTCGAACGGGAAGGAAAAAGCGAGATGCAAGAAGTGCGGAATGTTTTTGGGAAAAGATGGCAATAGCACGTTAAGGAGTCATACAACAAAAACTTGTCCGGCTGTAAAAGGTCAAAGCGATCCAAGTCAACCAAATATTACTCCCGACGGGTCGATCTTCATTTACAACAATGATGACCTTCGTGAAAGCTTTTGCAAGTTCGTGATTCAAGAGGGCTATCATTTCAACCACTTTGACAACCCACGATTAACAAGGATTTTGCGGGAAAAAATGCAACCGCAATACCGGCAAGTAAGTCGCACTTCTCTTAGACGTGATGCTTTAAAATATTGGGATATAGCCAAAAAAGATATGCAATTGGGATTTTTAAATATAAAAACCGGTGTTTCTTTAACCTGTGACGTTTGGTCCTCCGCCGGTAGTTGTCCCAAAAGCTATCTTTGTGTCACGGCACATTGGATAGATCCCTCTACTTGGGTAATGAACAAACGAGTTATTGCTTTTGAACTTTTTGCGCATCCTCACACGGGGGCAAGATTATTTGCAATTTTAGTAAGCGTTATAGAGACTTATAATTTACGCGACAAAATCTTCTCTATTTCGTTTGACAATGCAAGTAACAATACCGCCGCAGCAAAAAGATTAATTGCAAAATATAAACCTATTTTGGATGGCTCGTTTTTTCATACTAGATGTGTTTGTCACATTATTAATCTTGCGGTACAAGATGGTTTAAAAATGATAGATTCGACGATTGAAAAATTCAAAACTATGTTAACTAGAGTTTTTGGAAGACATAAAGCTACAATGGAAAAATATCGAAAGTTTGCCATTTCCATTAACGCAACTCCATATAGTCCTCATTGGGATTGTGACACTAGATGGAGTTCAACATGCATGATGTTTGAAAGTTTGACACGTCAAAGAATCGCTTTGCAATTATTTTACGACACAATTTCAAAAGGAAAAAACCCGGTTTCGGATTATGATTGGGATTTGATGGAAGAGTTTGTGGAAATGTTAAAAGTTTTTAAACAATCAACCACTTTTCTATCGGGTGTGTATTACCCTACAAGTCCGTTGTTACTAAATGAATTATGGTTGATGTCCGCACAATTGGAACGTTTTGAACAAAGAAGTGAAATATTAACGCCTAGTAGCGAACTTGGAATTTATATGGGTTCAAACTTTTTAAAATTCATGAGTGCACCACAATTTAAAATTTTGGATCTTTTGGCTTGGTGGAGAGAAAAGGAAGCACAATTTCCTATTCTCTCCGTCATGGCCCGTGATTTACTAACCGTCCAAGCTTCCACGGTAGCTTCGGAATCCGCTTTTTCTTTTAGTGGAAGAGTTTTATCAAAGTTGAGGATGAATCTTACCCCGGTTGCGGTAGAGGTTTGCGTTTGCTTGAAGGATTACTTGGATTCTGTGGAACGTATACAACACTTGGCATCACTAGAAGGCCCACTATCACAAAATGTTGAACCGGAGATCATGGATGAAGAATATGCACAAGGCTTATCAACACCTCCGGAAGACGAAGACGATGACGATGAAGTCGAAGATGAAGACAGGGATGAAGAATATGGCATTGATGAGACCCCTAGTTACTTGCGTGGCGGTTGAAGAATAATTAAATGAAGGCGACACGAAGTGGAAGACCACAAAAACTATTTCCATTTGGCTAAATGTTATAACGCCACTTTATTATTATTATTATTATTATTATTATTATTATTTAACTAGTTTAAAAACTCTTTCTAATTCGACGTTTGATGTATGTTTTAACTATTTTAATGTACCCATGTTGCATTTTGTGTTATATTTGAAGTCCAAAAAATGTGTATTTAAAAAAAAAAAAAAATAGAGAAAATCGGATCGGATTTCGGATCGGATTACACCGAATCGGATGCGGGGCTCGGAAAACCGGTCAAATCCGGTCAAAACCGGTTTGAAACCGGTTCGGATTAAATGCTGAATCGGATTGGGCGTGTCATAATCAAACCGGATCGGATCCGGATCCGGATCGGATAGGTAACGTTGGTTTCATTACGGGTTTATGGATTTTTGGGCCATATTTGGATTCGTTGATTATAATTGGGTTTGTAAGGGCGGAGCGGACATAAGAATTCATATTAGGTGTTCTTGGTATATGAAAAATAGGTAAAAAATCGAAAAAAATTTCACTGCGTGCAAGAAAAATAGGTGTTGCCATTGTAATACCGGACACCACTATAGATCTGCGAGTGTGGGTTCGCAAGTCATATTCATTTAAAACTTGATTTACCGATTTAATTTATTTAATAAATATATTTGTAACACCCATGTCCGAGATTGTTTTAGCTTTATATTTATCAGGGACCAAAGATGAAGTTTTTGAGGAAACTCTGTGCCACGATGTGGTGCAAGGATGCCCACGAGCGACAATGATTTGAAGGATCACATGTTTATTTGGACCGCCACAATGTGGCCAAGGGTTTCCACGATGTGGCACCTATCCTGACCCAACCCAAGCTTCTTTTAGGGTTCCCTTCGTATTTAAACCCCTCTAAGCCATTTATAACCAGCTACCAACACTCTTATACCTCAAAGAAACCCTAGCCCCAATTCCTTTGGTAATTTGTGGCCTTTGGAGCATTTGTTAGCTTGGAGAAGAAGATAATAAGGAGAATAAGGTGCTCTACTGGTTGATCTTGCAAGGAAACAACACCATCAACGTCTTACATTGCTTCTAAACCTTTGTAAGTGTCAAAGGCTCAGACTTTATGGCTTGAAGTGACTAAATCTAAGATATTGTCCCATGTTCTTCATGCTTAAGCAAGTTTGGAAGGAATGAAGTCATAAAGTTAGCAACTTTATGACTCCCCTGAGTCCCAAGAGCAATATACATTATGGATCGGGACTTTGGTTGGAGTTCTTGTCAATTGCATGAGTCTTGGTTATTTTTTTAGCTTATTTTGATCCAAAATGGATTCTGACATGTTTTGGCCATGCATGTCTATAAAGCTTTCACCTTTATGATAGATCTGGGATTGGAAACCCTTCTAGAGTGGTTGGGTTAAAGACTTTTTTAGATTAAGGTCTCGATGGTTAAGACATTGTAGTATTTAGCTTTATTTAGACTTAGGGTTGGAGAACTTGATCTCTTTGGGTATCTTAATGGATAAAGTTGGAAACTTTATCCATTTAGAC